GGTTTTTCTCCGGTACCGGGAACCGAACTCACGACCTTGTGCTTGCCAGGCAGGCGCTTTGCCGCTGAGCTAAATCCCCAGCCCCCACAATATTCTTTTCTAATAACTAGATTAAAAAGCTATGAGGTTAAAAAAAAGTTTCCAAATCCCTGATTTGGTACGTATTTTTTTCTTCATTTTGGTTTCACTCTGCTAATTTGCTCTCTCTTGAAAACTCTGCTGTTGTCTAGTGAATAAAAATGGTAGTAATGAAAGCCTGTTGTGGTGACTCATGCATGTAACCCCAGCACTCTCTGAAGCCTGAGGCAGGAAGATCACCAGTTCGAGGCCAGCCTGTGGCTTGAACGGTGAGCTCAAGACTAGTGTGGTCTCAAAAACCAAGCAAATTAAGCCAGGCATAGTGGCACATGCCTGTAGTCCTGGCACTTGCGAGGCTAAGGCAGGAAGATCAAAAGCTCTAACCTATCCTGGACAATTTAGTGAGATCCTGTCTGAAAATAAAAATGGGTTGGGGATGTAGCTCACTGGAAAGATTCTGGGTTCAACTCCTAGTAGGGAACAAACCAAAAATGTAAAAAACAAAAGCAAAATTATAATTAATAACCAGGAAAGCAAGCCTGATTCTCACTTTGTGAACAAAGGAATGAAGTCACTGTTCTTCCTGTTTCACTGTTTTGAGTCAACCAAATGTCCAAATATTAGGACGAAAGATCTAATACGAGATTATTAGATCTCAGTATGAGAGCACAGGAAAATCTCCTTTGAAACTGATCACCTGCACAGTGCATGTTCCAGTGGTTCTCCCCAACCCACAAAGTTCAAAGGGCTCCGCAGGGTTTTCGGGACTTTTGGTACAGCCCTAACCTTTCCAGACTGTCTGGCTCTCCCTAGTCCTGTCCTGTGCTCCAGCCAAACAGACTCCTCCATTTTCTCTGTGGGGTCTCTGAACTGTTCCTTCTGCCTGGGACAGTCTGCTCACTAGAACATCTCCTCTTGCCAAAGTTCTGTTCACGCTTCAAGGATCTACTTCTAGTTTTCCTTCCTGAATCCTAGTTATCTTTTCCTCTTGAGTTTCAGAAATATATATATTTTGAAGGTACTAGGGACTGAACTCAGGACCTTTGTACTGAGCTATATCCCCAATCCTTTTTATTTTGAGACAGGGTCCCACTAAATCACGAAGTTGCCCAGGATGGGCTCCAATTTGCAATCCTCCTGCCTCAGCTTCCCAGAGTGCTGGGATTACAGATTTATGCCTCAATGTCTTGCAAAAATACCTTCCTTAAAAGTACTTTAAACCAGGCATGGTGGTGCACACCTGTAATCTCAGCACTCTCGAGGCTGAGGCAGGAGGATCATTGGAAGTTTGAGACCAGCCTGGGCTACAAAGTGAGTTTATTTTTATTTATTTA